TTTAATCCTTTTGTGAAAAAGTGGTTAGTGGCAGTGCTGTCACTTTGAGAAGACTGGTGTCTTGGGGGCTGCAATACCCGTCCTGTAGGCTTGGTTGTATATTCTTAGATACATAAGAAATACATATTTAAGAAAATACACATGGGATGTGTTATGTACATACATGTCATTCACTAGGATGGAACATCAATGTGTGAGGCCACCAGGAGAAATCTGGGTCTAAGGCTGTCAGAGGAAATGTAAATGCCACTTTGTTGGAAATAACGAGGAAGGAACCTCGAATGACTAGAAAAGAAAAGAGAAAAATATACCTTTATCTGTTCGGTCTGGGGGATTTCATGATTGGCAATCGATGTTCTTTCCAACCAGTTCAATTTAAACCGTTCAGCTGATCTAAAGGATCTTCCTTCCCAGAAGGAACCATTACTGCCCTCACATTGTGTAGCCTGCTCGCCGGGCTGGAAAAACCCTGTGCGTGTTTACAAACGTGAAAAGTGAAGTGGTGAAAGTAGGTGATTATCTGAATAGTCCAAGCAAAGCAATTTACATTTGCCTCAATGACCTGACTGCTACATCCAAAGTGTTTGTTTTGGGTGTGCTGTGTGTGTGTTTGACCATGTGTTTTGTCTGCCTAATTATTTCCTAGCTCATGTTTCTGTATAACATAATCTGAAAAGCCACTTGATTAACTCAAAACATGGAAAACTTGTTAGTGACTGATTATTCAACTAATTTTTTTAGCACTGATTTGTTTAAATTGGTCTTGAATTTGGCTTTTATGTAACCAGAATAATAAGAGGTTTAGGGGGTTTTATTGACAATGTTAAAAACCAAAGCATCATTCAACTATAGGACATTTGGAAAATAAATAAAGGAAAGGAAATTGCCTCCCTTTTGACCTTAATAGAACTAGACCAGGTTTGTATCCTGGGATTGCTAGCTCGTAATCAGAAGAAATTTTAAAAGGAGTGGAAATGCCCTAATCTCTAGTCTTTAAAACTATCGGATGTTAAGAAAAAAGAAAGCCAAGTTTTTATTCTTCTAGAAATAATGAATGGCTGAGTTGTTATCCTGTCATCTCCAGAATACATGTTTTCTCCCTACAATGGTAGAGATCTATTTTTTTATAATAAAAGATAAGTCAATAAGGGATTGGAGATGGGGCCTCTCATTTATCCTGAACTGTTATTTTTGGTCCTTTGAATGTGATTATATGGAGAACACAAATGCAGAGGTACTGCTAAACTGTTTGAACTTGAATGTTTCCTATAGGCCAATCTGAGAAAAAAAATATGTACTGATTACACACTTCTTCAATTTTGGGCAATTTGAAGAGGGTTCAGCAGAAAATTGTAAATTTAACATTTAGAAGGTACTCACAATCTAGTTCTTTCTCCCTTATTTCCAGACACCTCTCTGAGTATTTTTAAATGATAGTGCTCTGAAGCCCAAGAGGGACAATATTTCAGTACAAATGGAGTATACATTTCAATGCATATTCACACTGGATTATGTTTATCCCAAGTCACTCACTTTTTTCCTCAGAAATGGAATGCGAAATTTCATAGGTATACAGTTTAAAAACTCTCAGAAAAAGCACTGAGAAACAGTTGCAAAATCATGGATGACTTCAAAATGCTTTGTGCCCAGAGAGCATGGAACTGATACAAAGTATAATGGCTGGAGACCAGTTATGATTCTCCAAGTCTCAAAGGAAATCGCAGAAAATTTCCAGTTTGGTAGCTGAGATAAAAAATGATCATGGAAGAAGAGGTTTTGTTTGCTTTGTGTTCTAGCCCTTTAGATAGAGTGGCCTCCTGCTTCCTAGCTGTGGCCAGCACTGGGCAGTGAAAAATGGGGTTACGGGCCCCTCCTCCATTGCTTCGAGAGCCTAGTATTTTGCAGAGCGATTTGGTGTGAGGGCTTCATGTGGACACTGGGATCTCCAGCACAAGGACTGTCGTTGCTGACTTTTGGCCTGGCCCGACTTTCCCTTATGGAGTGTGAAAATGCCTTGCTATTGAGGACAAGCATTTCCTCAGTTGAAGAATATGTGAAAACTTTGAATTTAACTGATTTGATGTAAAATTAAGACGTTTGGCATATAAAGAAATGAAATCCTATTTCCATCTATTCATAAAAGATAAAACTTGGCTTGAAATAGAGCTGACTGCAGGAAATGGAAAATCTTATAAGATGTGAATTATTTGAGCTTTTTGCTTCATTTTAAGGCATATTTTGGGTAAACTGGGGGCAGTGTTGGCTGGGTCCAGAGTAAATTATATTAACATTGTCTTTCTCTGTTCAGTGTTGGAGGAGTCTCTGTTCTGGTAGGTGGTGTTGGGACTTGGCAGAAGCTGAAACTTGCCAGGCTCTGAGGAGGCATTTTGCTCTGATTCCATTAATGTAAAACACCTTTTCTTATCTCTCCCCCTCACCCAGAATGCAGCTTAAAAGAGAGACTGTCCCAGTTTAAGTATGATCCACTGTGGTCAGAAATTTGGAATCCTTGTCAAAATACAGAACTGTCATCTCCTGGATTTAGAGTATTTCTGAAGGTGAGGGACACAGTAGCAGCTTTGAAATGCAGATCACTCAGACAACCTGCACCAAAACTATTTCCCAATTCTGCACGCAAAGCAAGCCAGGCTTAGCCGTGTGGAACAGTCTTGCACCCACCCACGTGCCCACGCGTATCCTTCCTAATCAGGCATGCCAGCAAAGGAGAGTCATTCAATTAAAGAGGGGTGGATTTTCCTTACTGTCTCCCCAGGCCGCTCCTCTTCCTTCCTCCAAAAAGTAAACACATACATGCTTAAAAATTCCTGAGCTCTGCACCTGAGTGAGGTGCACACGTCTCTCTTGTACTGTGGGCTGAAAAGGCTCCTCTCAGGAGTTGTGATTGAGATGGAAAATTTGAATTATGCAAGCCTGCAGAGAAAGAGGCACTGGCGTGCTCTTAGGGGATGCTTTAGTTCTTTTTATTCTGACCCTGTGATGGGTGGGTTGCTATATATGCACGAATCTATATTATGCTCTGTTAGTGAACATCTATTAGATTCTCCCGAGATGAAAAGGAAATGATGAACTACTGTGTTTTGATCAGGACTGCTGAGCTTGGGAGAAGAGAATGGCTGAATTCAGAAAACAGAGGTTATTGGTATATATTACATAGACCCTTCATGTACAATTTCATGAGAGTTTCTAACAATATCCAAATATTGAATGGTTTTGAAACAAGAGGCATCAGTAAAATTGTCTTTAAGGTAAAACTGGACCAAATCTATGTTATAAAAATTCTTTTAGGTTGTTATTTTCCTCCCAAGAAGAATTTTACCAGAAAATTCAGTTCTTTCCAGAACTTTTTCTAAAATGTAGCAGGTTGAAATTATTTGTATTGGTAGAAACTATGAATTCATAAAGTTGGAAGTTGTGTTTGGAGAACACTGCTCTTGGGCCACCTGCCCTCTGTGCTCCGTGCTGTGGTGGGATCTGGGACTCCCTGGGTCAGGGTCCTTCCAAAGTACCTCTGCCAAGGGTGGGAGGGGTTGTTATGCAAGAGAGACAGAACTGGGATACTAGTGTGTGACATTCTCCAATAGAGGGGAAATTTCATTTAAACCATTATTTTCAACCTATTCCTCCACAAACATTATTTTATTTTTTAAACTGAATTTGCTAAATCGAAGTCAATTGGCTGGTGGCTTATGTAGCAACTATCAAACCAAAATGTCTCACAATATATAGACTCAGTCCTTGAAAATTGTGTGATTATATATCTATATCTTTGCATTCACTCGATATGCAACAATGTTAATAAGAATAAAGAGACATATCTAATTTCAATTTTTCTGGCTCCTTCCACTCCCATCCCCTTCTGTGTCTGGTATACAGCCAGTAAATTGTGGGAAATCACTACTTTTTTATACTTTCTCTGCATAATAATTTACTTTTTTTCTGACTAATAATAGTATGTACAGAAGATAATTTTAAAAATTATGGTTTCCAATAAAAGTAATTCAGTTTTCTGTGTGAGAAAGACGAGAAGCACAGAGATTCTGGTACCAAAATTTTAATAATGCCCAAGCATTATTAACTAACTGGTAGGACTTTTTTTCCCCTAATGATGATGAGAAGCTTCAAAAGAGTCATAAAGTACGTACTAGCATCCAGTTGTAACAAAGAACTAATATCAAGAAGCAAATTGGTTTTGTGTTATAAAAATATCAAAAGAGTATTGATTTAGGGGGATTTTTTTTCTTTGGAATCTTGCTATGTATTGTATTTCAAAGTATAAAATAATTCTTATTCATCAAAATTGATGAAAGCCATTACCCATTTTTTGCATCTAAAGTTGGTTTGAGTTGAAAATTAATATTCAGTAAGGAGTTTTTAAAATTTTATCTACATTTCTTTCACACTCCGGAATATGTTTCCAAGACAAAGGCTTGTGCATGCTATATGCCTTTCTTTGCAAGATGAAGATAATTACTGAACCCATAATAACATAAGCTATACAACATACTTGGGGTTGACCTTGGTCTAGTAAAACATAGCTCTTAAGGTGAATTGTTCTTGAACCCATGTTGAACTAGTCCAAGAACCCAATGTTCAAATTCTGTTGACTCTCGGTAGTTTAGAATAAATGTAATGACCTTTAATGTTCAGAGATAATCAACATCTTTGACCTCAGCAACATGAGCGTTTTGAAAATCGTATTTATCCTCAAATGGAAACTGTGGCCAAAGCATGTGCACTCTTCCCAGGCCTGGGGTGAGGTTATTAGGTGAAGGGGTCCTGCCTAACAGTGGTGGTGCTGGGGCAAAAAAGGCCACGAAGAGACTGGGGTGGAAACTCACTGCAGTTCACACCGAGTGCCCAGTGGGTAGGGGTGGAGGCCAGCAGGAGTGGCCTGGGCTGGGCTGATGCAGGACTCGTGGGCTCTGTGCCGAAGGCTGGGAGGGAAAGACATGTAAGGGGCGGGAGCCTGAGAGAGCGTCTCAGCTATTGGCTTGCATGTTTTCCAGATTTCTTTGCCAGGATAATCAGCAGCTATTTCCAATATCCAAAAATCATTCATAAACATCAGCAAACTACAGTTCAGTCAGGGATTAGCAAGAATTTCACTTTAGAACTCAATTAATATATGTGTGTGTGTGTGTGTGTGTGTGTGTGTGTGTGTATGAAATACATAATAGAAATATTTCCAGATACTTCCTGTGTGGCTGAAATGTAATTTATAACTTAAGATAAACTGAGCAGTGTCCTTGCTACTCCCGATTGGTCACTACTGGACTGGGAGGTCACTACTGGACAGAAGGTCAAGAGTGTGAACCAAATGCCCTTCCTGCGACACGAGGAGCAGCACTTAGAGATACAGGTATCCGACCCAATAGACCAGGTTAAAGAGCAGGAACGACGTAGGGAAAAAGACCCGGGAGTACGAGTCCAGCTCCAAGATGTCTATGTGAATACGCCCTTTTCTCCATGATCCTGATTTACATTCTTCATAGCAGCAAAAGAAGCTCTGACAGTCTTTGCCGTCCAGACACTCATAGACGCAGGTGTCTTCAAATTCCTGCCAGTACACGGAATTGTTTAAAGTGATCATCGCAGGCGGTGGTGGCCTCATATCCAGGAGAGAATAGTTCTGCAGGCAATGAGAGCGACAACAGTCATCATGAAATGCCATGACACAGCCTGAGGTGTATCCAGCAATAGGTGTCTCCCAGTTAAAGGGGGACAAGTGGGCACGCCCATCTCCCACGCTTCCCCAGCACTGGAGACTGTCTTTTCAATCTTTGCAATTCTAATGCAAGGAAAACTGCATCGCAGTTTCGAAACTTGTGTTTTCCAGGTTATTGGTGAGGGAGGGTGAGCACATTTTCGAATGTGTATTAGCCATTTCTAGTCCCCATTCTGCCCACTTTTCTGTTGATTTGTAGCAGATATGTACTTATATTTATGCCTTAAATGGTAAACAGTACATATATCGAATTGTGCAGAGATAAGTATGGTATTTTTTTTCTGACTAGTAAATAGTAGAAGATACGGTGCACAGGAAGGATGAATTTCCTTGTGCCATGTAATTTAGGCAACAAGTGAGTTTTCAGTGTGGGGCGGCTGGACACGGCTTGTCATCTCAAGGAGGACAATGAAAAATATGTGCAGTTGGAATACCTCTTTTCTACTTCCTCACTCTCCTCCTGACATGGAAAAGTCAAAGTGGGGCAGATAAAGGAGAGAGATGACTTGCTATTCACTCATCAATGAGAGGACTCATTCCTAACCTTGAGAAGTGGCTGCAAATAGACTTGTCAATTCTCCAGACAGTTGCTAAGCTCTTCCAAATAGCTATGAGCTGTGTGCTACAGCGAATTCTGTTAGGAGGATACATTGCTAAATTTGACTGAATAATGGAAGAGAAGTAAAAACCATATTTGCCTGTCTGCTTTAGTTTTGTCTGTGCTGGCTGAACTGAGACAGGCATGGCAGTGGGAATGTCAAGGGAGAAGTGGACATAGCCAGCCAGCTGTCTGGTGGCTTCGCACAGAGTTGGCACAGTGCTGGGAAAGAGGCCATTCAGAATTCATTAGAAAGCATCATGAGAACCTCTTATATTTTTACCAAAAAATACTATTACAAGGAGGCCCGGCACCCCTTCTGGATCTCAGTTTGACTGGGTATGTTCACAGCCGAGTGGAAAGGAGGTGGCAGTGTGGAGCTTGCAGTCATTACTTGTAGGCTTCTGGTGTATCCTTGTAATGGGAAGCATCTGTGTGAGGACGGACCTACAGCAAGATGCGCTCACGGAGCATTGCTTACTGCTTGCACTGCGGCCACCCACCTCTGGTACTGGTGGCGGCGGGACCTCGGGGTGCAGCTGTCCACCCTCCCCCACAATTCCGGTGCATGGGCAGAAATGGAAGCCCTGCTGTCCCTATGGCTCTAATGTGGAGGTGTCTTCTCTAGGTTAATGTTCTCAACCCTGAGTGGGTGTAAATATCACCACGTGGTTTGCTGAAACACGGCAGATCCTGCCTCTGCATTTGAGGAATCTGCCTCTTTTTGACAAGCTCCAGTTGGAAAATTCTGCTTTTATGAAACAACAGTTGCATGAAAGGTGTTCCTACGGGTGTGCTGTGACAGAGTTCAGCCAGATATTCGTCCACTTGTTTCTTTGACCTGTGTAGTCTCTTGCTCTGTGGGGGAACTGGGGGCGACAGGAGACACAGAGGAGAAGCCCAGCCATCACAGGGCAGGGCAGCCCCAGAGGAAGATGATGACTTGGACTGGGCAGCAGAAGGCTCTGCAGGGGTGGGGATGGCTCACCAGAGATCTAAAGGGTGACTCTGGGAGGCTATGGGCAAAGAATCAGCAAAGTTTCTGGGGCAAGATAAACCTCCATTTCTTCATTTAGGGGACTAAAGAGCCATGGTCACTGAAACACTTGGAGACTTAATACAATATTTAAGAGAGTTCTATTTATGTCTTTATAGCTCATTGTTTTGCAATGAAACTAATTCTATTTTATAAGATTGAAACAAAACTTGGGATGCTAAGAGCCCTGAATAGCTGCACTTTGTATTGCTCAAGTACTTCTTTCCATGCACCCCTTCATTTGTCATGAAAATTTCAAACCATGCCCAAGATAGAGATTTTAATTCATGAGTCCTCAAAGTCGCCTTTGGCTAAGTTGAGTCCCTGACTCACTCTTTCTTTGCCTGCATGTCCCTGAGGCAACCCAGGGCCTCCCGGGAGCACTGCACTTCCTGGGTGCATGCAAATTTCATTAGCCTTGTGTTTGACAGGACAGGAAACTGAGGCACAGAGCAGTTAGGACAATTTGCCCCAATCCACACCTGTGATTGTTTGTGCCCTTCGCTGCTTGGAGGATGCTCATTTCTGTTTTTTTTTTTTTGTTGGTAACAGTGGCTCCTTAACTAGCATGAGACTGTGATCTTTCACAATAGAGTGAAAGATTGTAATGTTGACAGTTCTCATCCGACAGCTGAAAAACGTCCTTTTTCTTTGGCTATCGTATAACTCCTGCTGAAGATCTAACTGTGTCATCTCACCTGGCCTGGCGCCTTCTCTGTCTGTGAACTAATTTTCTTTGTACTTTCTTCAGGGTCGTTAAACTTTCCCTCCTTTTCTTTTTAAAAACTTTGTTTCCTGGTTTTGTGCAAATTTATTTTTTCCCTGTGTTAAAGGATTTTTTTCTCTCTTCTTTTGGCAGGATCATTTCTACACCAAATGTGTCAATATTTCTTTATCACGGCCATTTTGTGTGCACCTGTGACTATTTACTTGCTTATAGATTGGGGTTGCCCTGTGTTTGATAAATGGCCTTGGACCAGCTCCATCGGCAGTACCAGACACCCCCTCCCAGAACTCTCCCTACACTGTTCGACAGCCAAGCCCCTGCCAACTTTTCTCATTGGCATTTCTTTTATTATTGATGTAGTTTCATATTTTCAGTGTTTACTTTTGATTTGCATTTCTACTTTTGTGAATTGCTTTCGAATGCCTCTTAACTTCTGCCTCTTAACACCTGGCTGTGTGTGATAATGTGCCCCCTTCCCCTCTGTTTCAGTCTGATGCTATTTGGAGCATTTGCCGGCAAAACCTGTATGTTCACTGTGGCTTCCCACAGCTGTAGAAGTGGCCTGCCCCCCAGCCTTCTGTGAGAACTGCCGTGATCCACACTTGCACGGTACAGATAACTATGGAGCCTCCACGTGAACATGGGCTGGAAATGCCCTCAGTGTAAGGTATTGACAGTGAGAAACCTCCTTGTGGTCCCTGGTTGTAATTAATGAATTGATACATATAAAGGAATAAAAGTCACGATTATATATAAATAAGTTGTTATGTGATAAAAGTGGTAGATCACATCAGCGATTTAAACATACATTTCTCAATTTTTCAATAAAGTTAGATTCTTCTTACCTCAAGCTATGTACTAAAAATTCAGGTGCATAATAACTAAATGCAACAAATTTCTTTTTAAATTGTCAAGCATTGGTCAGTACCTACAAGGTTTAGTTTCTCCATACTTCAGTTTCCTCATCTGTAGAATGGGTTGTTGTAAGCATAAAAGTGAGTTGATACGTGAAAGTGCTTAGAACATGTCAAGCAAAGTGCTCAAAAGAAAGTGAGGGCAGTCGGGGCATTCTGAGGGTGGAGGGGACCTTCTGAAGCAGGACACAAGAAGCACAGACCACAGAAGAAAAGGCTGACAGATCTGACAACGTGAAACTTAAAATAATACATGCAGAAAAAGGTACAAGAAAGTACAGTGACAATGTTGCCAACGAAAGCCGGAATAAAAACTACATGACAAACAAGTGAGTATCTGTAATATATTCCGTGACTATCTAAATTATGTATTCTATAAAATACTATATATAATATATAACATATATCCACAACTGGCAGATACCTACTTTAAAATACTAATAAAAGTTAAGAGGCATTCAAAAGCAATTCAGAAAAGTAGAAATGCAAATTAAAAGTAAACAAGTGAAAATATGAAACTACATCAATAATAAAAGAAATGCCAATGAGAAAAGTTGGCAGGGGCTTCGCTGTCGAACAGTGTAGGGGGAGTTCTGGAAGGAGGTGTCTGGTACTGCTGATGGAGCTGGTCCAAGGCCATTTATCAAACACAGGGCAATCCCAATTTATAAGCAAGTAAATAGTCACAGGAATATACAAAATGGCCGTGATAAGAATGTAAATACAAGTGAAAAAGTGTGGATAAACCCAGTGTCCAGCCAAGATTGCCTGTGCATCAATCACGAGCCTGCAGTGCAATCATTGAAATGATCCTAGGAAATAATATTTGTGGCACGGAAACTGAAGTACACATTTTTGAGTTACAAATATAGCCCTTTTGTATATATTTGTACAAGATACATAGATCTAATATATAGATCCTAATTCAGTTTTTCGAAATGCATGAATATATATTATTTGAATGCCTAGAAAAAAAGAACTGTGTATGCCACACACTATTCCCCATGTAGAAGGATTATGATTAATTTTGGGCTCTATTTTCCAAATTTTCAAAGTTGGATTGTCTTTAAGAAGTATTAAGCACGTTTTTGAAGGGAGTGCACGCATCACTTGTTGGTCTCCAATACGTGCGTGCATGAGCAGCCAAAGAGCTTTCAAATGCAAGCCTAGTTTAGTAGAAGTTCTCAGAATACTGGCGCCTGTGACGCTATACATACGGAGGGGCCTTGCAGACTTATCCGCTCGTGAATCCATCTGGAGGAGTCCGGAGGTAATAACTACAAGGAAAGAAGAAAAATCGTTAGTAAACTGCCATGAACATTTGCATCCCAGAACTCCCTAGTTGAGAACAATCTTTACGGTATGATTGAACCACCCATGTCACTGGGGGCTGACACTGGAGGATGCCAGAGGGTCACATTCACATCTTCGAATCCCTGTCTGGCTCCTTCGAGTCTTGTTGAATTAGGTATTTATATCACGTTTTATAAGAAGATTCTTAGGAATACAGTGTATTTAAGCACACATTTATCTCAAACCGTCTCCCTATTACCTCCCGGAAAATCTTTGCTACTGCAACTCACGGATGTTGTCTTCTTCTTCGCGGCGGCTGGTTTCCTGCAGCTTGAGTAGTAGTTGAGGGTGGCATACTCCATCAGAGCCGCGAAGACAAAGAGGAAACACACGGTCACAAAGAGGTCCATGGCGGTCACATAGGACACTCGCGGCAGGGACGTCCTGGCAATGGTGCTTAGAGTGGTCATGGTCAGCACTGTGGTGATGCCTGCATGGGGCACAGTCATCGAGTTGTAAACGGACGCCATAGGGGACACGAACAATGAATGACAGGTTACCCACGTGCCCCTACTCCAACATGGCTCTTCTTTTAGGGAATCCTTCTTGACGTTGCATCCTCCACGTAATCTTAATTTCACCTTTCATGTCTATACAATTTTGTAAGCAATGTTTCAATGACATTTCTTAGCATAGTCTTCACAATAACATTAAAATGCCTGAATCAAGTGGACACCCTTCAGTTTATTCAGAATTCTCTGTCATTGTTGGCCATTTTGCCTTTGAAACATTTCTTTTTCAATGAAAATAGTTTGCAGTCCTATGTATCACCTGCTGTTCCACTTGTCACGCTTCTCTTCTGCCCAGATATCCCCTCTTTGTTCTTACTTGTCCTGTCCCAATTTGTAAACTAGCCATACTTACTGACATACTTACTTACTTAAAGTAGCCATACTTACAACATATTTAGAACAAAAAACATTAATACAAGGATTAATAAATAAAATTGCTGCACACTGAATGCATAAAAAAGAAAAAAGAAAAAGGAGCTACACATTGGAATAGATATGTTTATTGTATATAACCAACAAATCTTCATGATGTTGCATATTATCCAATAACAGGAAATATTTATTCAAGTGTATTTTTATGTCAGAAATGTCTGAGTTTTCCTCATCTGTGATTCATTAGTGCTTTTTGCTTCTGGTCTGAGAAATCTTTATCTAATCTAATATTAGATTTTTAAGTTTTATTTTTCTAGAAATTTTGCATTTTTAGCTTTGCCATTTAAGTTATAGTCCATTTCAAATTAATTTTTGTGTATGATGGGAGGTAGAAATTGTAGTTCATTTGCATGATGCAAATATTAGGTGCAGAGTTCTACAATATCAAATAGCTCAAAGACATCGATAGTGGTGTTCAGATCCTCCATTCTTTTACTGATTCTTTGCTGACTTGTGTAATCACCTAAATAAGTAAACAAGTGTGCCTGTTTATGCATACTGCTGCTAGAAGTATACTTAAATCTCCAACTCTGATTGCAGATTTTTAAATTTACCTTTTTATTCTCAGTTTTTGCTTCTTTTAATATGAAGTTCTGATACTAGGCATGAACACATTTATGAATGTTTTGTCATTCTGTTGAATTGATCCATTTATCATTATTATACATTTCCATTTATCTCTCACAGTCCTTTTCTTAATTTTACTTTGTCTCATTTAACACAGTATGCCAGCTTCTTTGCTGTTCATATGGTAGATGTTTTTCTATCCATTTTCTTTCAAACTACCTGTGTCCTTTTATGCTTTTTTTGGTCAATGTATAGTTAAGTCTTAACTTTTTAATCATTCTGACAATACCTACCTTTTAATTCGATTATATGGTAGTCCATCTCTATGTAATGTAATTTTTAGTAGTAAGCCATCTTGCTATTGTTCTATATGCTCCAATTTTTCTTTTCTTCTTCTCCTTCCTTATTTGCTTGTTCAATCATTTCTTTATTTCTTTTTTTATCCTTTTTCTTTGGTTAAATAATTGGTTTTTTTGTATTTTATTTAATTCCTACATTGAATTCTTAGATATGCTTTTAATTATATTTTCATAATTTTTCAATAAATTACAATAAGAATTCTTAACATATCACAGTCTACTTAGAATTATTTTGTATTTCACTCATTTTTGTAACACTTAAACTCATATGAATATATTTTCATATGTTTCCTATCTTCCTTGCTATTTATGGCCTATATTTTATTTTTTTATTTTGGAAATCCCATCTTACAATATTATCATTTTGACTATAACTGAGGGGATAAAAATAGAAAGATAGTTTTTAATATTTATCACATATTTACCATTTCTGGTCTTTTTCATTCCTTCTTATAAGTCTAATTTTCTATTTTTTCATTAGCCTAATTAGCTTGCTTTAGTATTTTTATTGTGGTTTTAGATTTTCTGTGACAACTGTCACAGCTTTTGTTTATCTACAAATGTCTTCATTCCAGATTTTTGAAGTATATTTTCTCTGGATATAGAATATCAACTGGATAGGTTCTCTCTTTAATTTCAGTACTTTAAAGATGGCAATTAATTATCTTCTGCCCTCCATTATTGCTCATGAAGGATGAGACATTAATTATACTTTTATTCATCCACATATATAGGACATTTTTAATTTAGCTGCTTTCAGAAATTTTCTTTATTTTTAATTTTCAAGATTTGGACTATGGTGGTTTTCTTTGTATTTCTCCTGCTTGTATCTCCATAAACTGCTTGAATTTGGAGGTTGGTGTTTTTCAGCAAACTTGGGAATTTCTTGACCACATTTCTTCAAAAATTTTTGGCCTCATTTTGTTTCTCTTATTATTCTGAAACCTCAGTTACTGTTATGTTATACATATTCATATTATACTACTGAACACTAAGGCTTTGTTCATTTTTTAAATCTTTTTATTCCTGTGTTCTTCAGATTAGATAAATTTTATTTGGTGGTCTTCCCTTTTACATAACCTTTTTCTTCTGCTATCTTTAATCTTAGGTACACTTAACAAATTTTTCAATGAAGACATTATATATTTCATTCTAGAATTTCTTTTTTATATACTTTTCTGGTGTGATAACCCATGTATTCATTCATTACGATCATATTTTCCTTTAAGTCCTTGGACGTTGTTATAATAGCTGTTTTTAAAAACCCATGTCTACTGATTCAACATTAGAGTTGTCTTTGTCTATTAAGTCTTTTTTTTTCTTGATCATAGGTCACATTTTTTTGCTTCTTAGAATGTCTAATATTATTGTATACTCTATATTGTGAGTGATACATCATAAGGAGTCTGGGCTATTTTTTTTTTTTTTAAAGCCTGTCAAATTCTTTCTTACTACAGACAGTTAATTTACTGGTGGTTGTCCTTGATCTTGTCATTGCTTGGTTTAAGCTTTATTAAAGGAGATCTAGAGCACCCCTTCATTTCTAGGCACAGACTTTCTGGTGTCTCAGTTAAACATCTTAGTGTTAATGATGTTTCTCCACTCTCTGGGCTGTAAATCTGTTATCTGACAGCACTGTGTAGTTCTAATATCTTTCTGCTCTTTATCCCACAACAATTATTCTCTGTAGGACTTTCATAGTCTCAAGCTGTATAAACATAACCACATATTATATTATTTGGAAGCTGATCTTTAAATGTCTTGCGTACAATGGCACCTAACATTTGCAAGTATAAGGTCATAAGTCCAAGAGTAGTTACTAATTTGTGTTAATATCTTTGATGATTTAGCAATTCTATCATGTATTTTTATAAGCATGCAAAACTAGTATAGGTGGAGGATATTACAGGCTAGTTTATCTCAAATAGTACTTTGTTGTTGAACAATCAAATAAAGAATAAATAAAACACAGAAAAAGCACAATATAAATATGAAAGACATTGCAAGGATTTGAAATTGATGCAGATCCCTCTTGTCTGGAAGAAATTTGTAGGGAGAAACAACCTCTATATTCAGTCTTGTATATTACCTGTCTTCAAAAATCAAAACATTGAAAGGGAAAATTATTATCATAGAGAAAAACTGACAAAATATGTTGCATAGTTTTAAAACTACTGAACTTTAGTGTTTTACTAAGAGGACTTTGGGAGACGGAGAAAAACTCATAAAAAGACTGAGTTTTAGTGTGTGGATCACAGCTGAAAAGAATGATCATTTTCTTGTTCAGTGGTAAAGTTGCTATAAACAAGCAGAGCTTCTTTTATTGAGAAGCTGTTTTACTGATAGTGTGTCTTCAGTCCTCAAAGGTGTGTGGCAAGTTCTGTTTCCTGCTATAAATGTTGTGAGAATTTTGAGTTGACAGGTTCCAAGATGTGCCTATATTTTTGTGATCATATCAGCTTATAGTATTAGATGACACAATTGATAATTATGAATGTCTAACCCCAACCTAATTTAAGTAGCACAACATGGAATTCCATTGTCAGAAAGAACAACCTAACTTGGCTACTTAAAAAAAAATCCAAGCATAGATTAACCCTCAAATTAGGTCATTCACATTTAAACTAAATCTCTTTCACTGAAGGTATTTTTACGAATGCTTCTATATTAAAATTACATGAAATGGTAGGAGAGATTTTTTGAAACTCACCCAATGCTGTTCTTGCTGGTGTAGCATCTTTTTTGATCCAGAATGACACCCAGGATAAAACCACAGTCAGTATACAAGGAATGTATGTCTGAATAGTGAAGTATCCCATTCTTCTACTCAATTCGAAATATATAGTCATGACAACATAATCACCTGTAATAAAATTTTGTCAAAATTAAGACAAATTTCATGTCTTACAAATAATTCAGGGAAATAATTTACAATTTATTTTGTGAAATGAATAACTTGAATAAAAATGTACAACTACAATAAGATCAAGTCAGGAAAAGGATCAAAATCCTTTTCCTAATTTTTATAGTATCCATGGCTGCTGCACAGGACATCTTACTGGTCACTGTAAAGAACACAAAAACAAACATATCAACTGACAGAGGGGACAGACATGCAGATCTAGTCCACGACAGGCCATGACTTGATAAGGTATTAATATTATTGCTTGAGTCCTTCTGTTTACGTTGCATGATTAAATTCATGGGTAACAGGTAAAATCAATCCTCAGATCCAGGATCATTTTAAAGGATGTTTCTTTCAATAATAACAGAACTATCATATACATAAACTTGTGTAACCATTTTATATTTTTATTTTATCATATTATGAATATTAGCTAATCAACTTTGTACTTTATGTTTCATTTAATATTTTTTATTTATTTTATTTTCTCATAACTTTAGTACTCACGCTGTACCAACCCAGAAACAAACAGAAGTAGTCATTTCATGACATACTGCTCCCTCCTACCAAACAGAGCTGCACCACAAAGGAGTTGGGGCAATGTAGATGTTACTAGAGATTCTGTGAGATTCCCTGGGGGCTTGAGGAGGCACCGTACGCTTCATTCTATCCATTTCTTTTCTAGGCATCCCCCTGCCGAGACTGTGCCTCTCCCCACCCTCACCATGTGAATCCTCCACTCCTTGCAGCACCTGAAATTCACCATGTCCAGAACTGAACTGTCACCTTCCCCTCCTCTTCATTCAGGTCTTTCTCTCACATGCTCAAAGAGGAAACCCAGAAGCCATCTCTGACTCCTTCTGTTTTCTTCTCCATGGTTCTGTTTGCTACATGAACCTCAAATCTTTTCCCCTCCTAGTCCAAGCTACCATCATAGCCACAACCTTGTTTCCTAATGACCAGTCCTCTTCTGCTCCAAACCATTCTGTGTCCTGCTATCAAAAGGATCTTTCTAAAACACAAATATCATTATATCCTCCTCATAATCCTTCAACAACATCTAACTGCCTTTGCACAATTGTCACACTCATACCATAGTCCACACCATCCTGCATCCTACACAGTCTACACTCTTGGCATCTGGTCTACCCAGGTTCTCAAACTTGCCAAAAACCTTCCCCACAGGCCTCTGAATCCCTGGCCCTCTACTGGGATGCTCTTCTTTTTTCTTTTCCCTGCATCTGGATAGTTCCTATTCTCTCATCCTTGAATCTTAGCTTAGAAATTACTAACGTCCCCAGGAAGTCTTCCCTGAAATGCCCCCAACAATTGTGATAAACTCATTTCTATAATTACGAATATAATATCTGTCTTCAAACCAATAAACTGGTTGGGTTATGGCTTATATCTCTCTTGTTCGCCAATGTTGCCTAATGATAAGCTATCAATTAGTATTTGCTTAATAAAAAGGTCATCATTAAAGTCCCATTTTTACTTAAAAGATTGACAGGGAGAGTATATTGGGCCCAAATGAAAACAATGCTTTTCAATAAATTAGAATTTTTTCGTAGGTTGCAATATTGTGTTTTAGCAACATTTAGGAGCACTGATAGAAACATCAATTCTGATGCCATTTTCCAAGAAACATTTAAAATTTTAAGCAAATTAGCATTTCAGTGCAAAGGAATCAGGATGATTAATGTGAAGCAATAAAGGAATACAACAATATTGTTCTAAGTAATGTGAATGCCAATGTTACATCATTTCCTGGGGAAATGTTATTTGAATTATGTGTGATTCTTAATGCTTGTTAATTTTTGCATAAAATTTCAATCAAAACTCTTCCACCTGACATGTAAAATGTACACTATCTGGGGGATGGGCGCACTTGTAACTTTGACTAAAATGGTACAATAGCAATTTATGTAACCAAAACGTTTGTACCCCCGTAATATTCTGAAATAAAAATAAATAAATAAAAAGCTATAAAAAACTCTAGTAGAGAAACAAACAAGCATCCAGAAAAACATACCATAATAAATCACTCTAGGAGTTATGAACATGGTCTAAATAAAATACGCAAAGAGTTGATGAGTTTCTTCAATTATCACTGTTGTAGGTTAGTGAGCAAGATATACAAGCAGAGGGACAACCCCACAGCAGACACGCAGTTCATTCTAGCAAACCATCTGCTTTCTCCCTGCCTGGGGTGAGGAGACTCCCCATTCCTGTGCTCAGCTTACTCCTCTGCCTAACCCAGAGGTCTATCTGGGTGTCCTGTGGTTAGTAGCTTCCCTGGCCCCTGGGCGCCCTACTGAGGCTCTGCCTTTTCTAGAAGTGGGTGGTTCGAAGGAGAAAGGAGCATCACCAAAGTCCCAGCGTCGGGTGCATGACTGGGGGTGTGCATGATGCTGCCAGTGACAGATGGGAGGCCTCGGAGTGACCTTACCAAAGAACTGTAGGTTATTTACATGTGGTTTGGTGTTTTCTTTTAACCTCATTACTAATTCACTATTGCTTGTTTTCCTCCTGGTGTTGGCTGATGTGTGGTTACTTCCTATTTTCAATGCTAATTGTTTCTTCTTCTTTTGTGTGTGTGTGTTCCACTGTTTCCAGAGAGGAATGTGTGGTAAAAGTATCATTATCCCATACAATGCCATTTTTAAAATGAGAATCACATATGTATTTCTACTCATATAAAGAGTTGAGTTCATACTCTTACTCATATCCTTATCATTCACTTTTCATGATCACCAGAAGAAAAAAAATTTAAAGTATTACATATTTTAAAACAGAAAAATATGATAATTTTTATTAAAATCAATTTTTACTTCATGCCTATAACCATGTTTAACCATAAAGTAATGGCCAGTTTTTAGAACAAGTAAGCCTTAGCACAATTAAAATATAATAATTATGTAAAAAGTTAATTAGTTAATATGATTGTCTGCAAATGAGGTGCTGGAGGAAATTTTAGGATAATTACAGATCCCACCAAACATGATATAATCCTATAAGTAAATTCAGCAAGAAATTTTTACCTAATTGCTAAATGCTAAGTGTGGAGTAGCATGAAAGGATGCAGCCTCTAGTGGCCACAGAGATAAGGGTTTCTCCTCCTTTTGCAGATTTTTCACCCAGGAATTCCACCAAGTTTTCAAAGGGAAGATCAAGGACACTCCTGAAAAAGCCTCTCCATGGGGCCATGCGGGGCAGAGTGACAGTGTCCATCGCCAGAACTCCACCAAGGCCCATATCCCTCTGTCCCCTGGTAAAGCAAGTGCCTCAGTATACAGGGGGTGGGCGACAGAAACTGACGCACTAAGGCAATGGTGGGAACCTACTGCAAGTGCGTGTGTGGCTTTGTGTGTGTGACTGGAAAATGAAGAAAGCTGTACCCCTGAGGGACAGGCAGGAATACTTGCTAGGCCCAACATTCCATCTGGAGGAGGAACAGGAACACTTGTGAAAGTCACACCCCAAGAACCGAGTTTACAAATCCTGCCTAATACTGGGGCTTAGTCAAGACATCAGATAATGCCTCACCCTCCCTAGAGCCAACCACCAACACATTACCAAGCACTGAGTGAGAACAGTAGTGTAATTCAGGTGGAGATGCTGCAAAAGACAGGTGCTCCCTGGGAAGAGTGCAAAGGGAAGACCCAAAGCCAAGCCTGGAGTCAAGCAAGAAGCAAACTCAAACCTGGCTCAACTTCTGACTAAAGAAGCAAAAACCCTAGCATTAAAAGTGTAGCAAAATAAAAGGTATGTTCATTTCCAAGTGTATGAAAAATTTACCTCATGATCTATTAATACTATTCCATAAAACACATCTAGTTTCCACATAAAATTATAGGACATAAAATAGACCAAAAATAGCAGGCTGAAGAGACAAAGTAATCACTAGGGACAGAACCAGATATGAAAGAGGATACATAAAATAATTATTTAATGTGTTAAAGTCTCTAACGGAGAAGGTAGAGAACATGCAAGGCCAAATACATGACTTGGTCAATCAATGGAAATCAGCAGATCAACTGAAATTATAAGAAGGAACCTAATTAAAATATAAGAAATCAAACATGTAGTAAGATAGATGGCATGCCTTAGACAGACATGTTAGTAGACTTATCACAGTCAAAGATAACAAGCTTTGTGACAGATGAATAGAAATTATCCAAGCTGAAACACAAAGAGAAATATGAGTTAAAAAATCAGAACAGAGAAACCAAGAACTGTGGAAAAATAACAAACTGTCTAATACATGTATAATGACAATCCCATAAGAAGAAAAAAAGAATAAAATATT